CTAAGTATGAGGGCCGAGGTGAACCTGGCCGAGGTCCGACCTACCGGAAAGCTCGGTGGGGGCCGATGTGAGCTACTGTCAGCGGCGTGATTATCAGGTGTAACTGTCGGTCCCGAGATTACCGGGTGTAACCGACGGTCCTGAGATTACCGGGTGTAACCGTCGCGAGATTAGCTGGACTACCACCCATAAGTAGAGGACCTCACTCCACGATCAGGTACGATGATTTCTGACCTCGAACTAAACTGGGAATCCGACCTATACTGACTTGATCGTCGGAGTGCTCACCTTTTTGTGCAGGTCCGCCCAAGTATTCAGGTCGGTCCGGAGGCCGAGTTCGAGCTGCAATCTGAAATACACTGTTGTGCATATCCTTGCATAAACAGTTAGACTCCAATATTACGATTTATTTTGTTTTATTTTGTATTTTTGTTTTTTAATTCTTATTTTTTCCCTTTTTTTTATTCTTATTCTTCCGGTACCCGTGTTCAAGCCTAATTCGTGATTCCCTTAATTTTTCAGATTTAGTTTTTTTTTTGAGTTTTATAAAATAAAATAAAATTATCAATTTTATTTTTGAAGAAGAAAAAGAAATCATAGATTAGGTCAATTTAAAAAAATGAAAAATTAAGAGAATTGGCAAATTTTCTATGTCAGAATTTTTACCAACAACCAAATATATCAATTATACATATACAGATATATATAAAAGTTGGTCGAACCTTTATGATTTAATTGTTGCTGACAATTCAAATGCTTTTGTTTGTCATTTATACATTATCGTTGTCGTTACAAATGGGTAATATATATTTTTTTAATAAAGTCTTGTACTGATATATTTTTTCCGTCTTTAAACCATCATTTTATATATTCAATATTCTTCTTATTTTATATAAGTTTTAATTTCAATTTTGCATCATCTAAAAAAGTTTACAATTTTAATTATCCAAGGTACATTTTTATTATCTTTACATTATATATTATTAGTTTTACTATTTGGAGATTAGTTTTTTTATTCTATTATTATTAATGTTCTTGTAGAGCCAACTTAGCTGATCAGTAATTGACATTATCTCATACTAAAAGGTGGTGAGTTTGAAACCTCCACTCTCACTTATTGTACTAAAAAGATTAATGTTCGATAGATATTTTATATGAAATTTAGAAAAATTATCCGCAATTCTTGCCAACTTCAAAATTACTTTTTTGAATTCTCACCTATGTAGTATGAAGTCCCCGGTCAAGAAAATCTTAAATCATGCATTGTCCCCAATGTATGAAAATGCATAAAGGACAAGCAAATAATCAAATAAAATAAGGATATGGGATACTGAGACTTCCCTGAGTGGCACGACTTTAAAAAAATCCAATAACTCCGATGACTTCTTCTTTTTCTTTCTTTTTTTTTTTTTGTTTTACCTTGCTATCTTTCCTACATTCAAAAAGTAAATTTAGAAAGAAATAAAACCAAAAATAAAAAATAAAGAAAAATAAAAGAAAATATAAACAAAAGTTGCAAAAGAAACATTTGGGTTGCATCCCAATAGCGCTTGATTTATAGTCTTTAGCGTGACTTTTCTTCTCCTCTTCAAGGTGGTTTAAAACAGTAGTATTATGCATATGACTTAGAAGAAGATGGGGATGATGGTGATCTCGCCTCAATGATGCAAGAGCAACTCGTGAGGTTATAAAAAGGGTCGGAATGTTTGAAAACTTTGAAAATGACTCACTCGTCTTGAACCCTTAGTTTCAGCTCTCCCAACTCTACATCAATCTTCGCTCTTCCCGTCGCCAAGAAAGGTCTTCCCAGAATAATAGGCATGTTTCATCTTCCTCCATATCCAACACTACAAAGTCCACAGGAAAGATGAATTTCCCTACTTTGACAAGAACGTCTTCAATGATCCCTCTTCGGTACTTTATTGATCTATCAGCTAGTTGCAATGAAATTGTGGTTGGTCTCACCTTTCCATATCCCAATTTCTTGAAAACAGATAAAGGCATTAAGTTAATACTGGCTCCTAAGTCACATAAAACATTTGCAAAGACAACATCACCAATTGAACAAGGAATAGAAAATCTTCCTGGATCTTTAAGTTTGGATGGAAGCTTTCTTTGTAGTATGACACTACACTCCTCTGTGAGTGGGATCATTTCATAATCCTCCAACTTTCTTTTCTTCTTCGAGATGTCCTTCATGAATTTCATATACTGTGGCATTTGTGTGAGGGCATCTACAAAAGGAATGTTAATATGCAGTTTCTTAAAATTTTCACTAAACTTACTAAACTGCTTATCCTTTTTGTTTTTCTGGAGGCATCGAGGAAATGGAATGGCTGATGAGGTGGCTAACTGTGGTGTCGCAGTGTCCTCAACAATCTTAGTGGATGGTTCTAGTGTAATCTCTGTTTGTTGAACTTCTTTTGTAGGCTTCTTATTTTGCTATGGTTCAACCAACTTCTTACCACTCCTCAAGGTAATTGCCTTACAGTGCTCCATTGGATTGACCTTTGTTATACTTGGCAAATTATGTGGAAGCCTATCTACCATCATGTTGGCAAGCTGACCAACTTGTACCTCTAAGTTACGAATAGAAGCTGCTTGATTTTAGAAGTTAGTCTAGGTTCATGTATTAACATGTTTTGTGTTTTCTAAAATCTAGAAATGAAGAATATAAAATGAGTTTTTTTTTTATATATTTTGTTTTTTTTTTCAAACTTGAAAGGTATGTTGGGATTTTCTAATATGTAGTCGATAACTTTCTGCAAGAAATAAAATCACAAGCACACAATAGAAAAGTAGAGACACTAAGATTTACATGGAAAATCCCTCAGTGTAAGGGGAAAAACCACGGGACAGCTCCGAAAATCATCCACTATAAGAATAATGGGTTATACAAAGTTTCTTCCCTAGTCGCAACTAGAGGATACACAGATACATCAAATGAGAGCCTGACTAATAATGGATACACAAACATCCTTCATCTACCAAAGATGGAATAAAAAACAAGCAAAGGAAAGGTCTCACCGGTGAAGACGACACAAAGAAACTCAAATGAAAGAAGAGCAAACTAAATCAACAACGAACCGGCAAACAGACCAACTTCTTCTTCAGCTCTTGCACAATTTTCTTTCTACAAAGGAAGTTCTCCCTCTTCTCTTCTTCGCACCCACACTGAAGCTCCTCAGTTGTCTCCCAACTTTTTTCACTTGTGTTCTTCTACAGAGACCCATGAAAACACAGCACAAAAGAAAACCCCCAAGCTTGCCCAACAAGCTTCACATATTTCTATGTTTTATTATTATTATTATTTTTCTTTTCAATAAGTCAAAACTTATCCATAAACAAATGGGCTAAAATAATTGGACCCTTTATGTATGTCGGGACCCAACAAACTTCCCCTCCCGACTACGCAGAAGGGTTAAACATGCCCGCTATCCGTCTGCATGCTTCATGCTTTCCTCTGGGTGAGGTCTTTGTCATCATATCCGAGCCATTATCATCTGTGTGTATCTTTTCGATCTCTAAGAACTTTTCATTCAACATGTCTCGAATCCAATGATACCTGACATCAATGTGCTTGGACTTCGAGTGGAAGCTTAGATTCTTGCTGAGATGAATAGCACTCTGACTATCGCAGTACAACACATATCTCTCTTGTTTAATGCCCAACTCTTGAAAAAATTTCTTCATACAAAGCATTTCTTTGCAAGCTTCGGTTGCCGCTATAAACTCAGCTTTTGTAGTTGAAAGAGCAACACACTTCTGTAACTTGGATTGCCATGATACAGATCCCCCTGCAAAAGTAATCAGATACCCCGAAGTGGATTTTTTGGAATCAACATCACCGGCCATATCTGCATCTGTAAAACCATTTAGCACAATTTTGTCATTCCCAACCTCTAAACATACTTTGGAAGTACCTCTGAGATATCTTAAAATCAATTTTACTGCTTCCCAATGTTCTCTGCCTGGATTGGAAAGAAATCAACTGACAACGCCAATTGCATGAGCTATATATGGTCTGGTACAAACCATTGCATACATCAAGCTTCCAACGACTGAGGAGTATGGAAACGCTACTCATATCTGACTGGGGTTATGCTGAACGCACGCACTAAGCGTGGTAACAATTCTATAGATGCAAGCGCACACCTGTCAGAGTAATATAAAATGGATGGAGTATCCATGTATCGATCCTCAAGGACTTCTAAATAATTTCCAAACTCTAAAGTTTTAATGAATAGTGAACGTTGAAATGAGTGATTCTTGTAAAATGGGAAGTGGTCACAAATAATGGTTTTGAATTTGGGATTTGGTCTTATAATGGTAAAACCTAGCCCGAATTACTTCAAGTTAGCCAACAAAGAATTAAGGATACACTAAGGACGATATGCATTTTACTTTAGGAACTAACGACTACGCTTTTCACTTGACTTATGTCTAAGCAAGTTCAAAGTCCTAAGACATTCCCTAATATGTCTATTATGAGAGATATCTTAGTTTTAGGATGGAAATAGTCGCAACCTCGGGTTAAGGTCCTATGTCTAGGCTACTTAACCGGAACCCTTATGTCTAAGGCGCTCCTCTCCTCGGTTTAACCACTTAACAATGCAAATAAGCAACCTTTTCAGTATTGACTTGTTAAGACTTACAGTGGCCTTCTCTAAATCCTAACTTTTTGGGAAAACATGTTGAGCAATGAGTGGAAAGCAAAAACACTACTTCTTAGCAATCGTTTTTAGAAATAAAAGGCTAACTATCCATAACCAGGCTAGAGACAGGAATTTAGAAAGACATATTGAAGAAAATACAGCAAGTAAAATGGTTGAAATTGAAATGCATGTGTGAAAAACAAAAGTTAACTAACGGAGAGTTTTGCTCGGGATTGAGAGCTTCGCCCTTCTCTTTCAAGCAAGGGGGAGTGTCACGTGCTCTTTCCTCCAAAAACACAATTCTCTTAACTAAAAATAAAGTAAAGGCAAAGTAAAGATAAGCTAAGTGYTGGATTTTTATAAATTTGAATARGTAGAAAATAACTAAGTAACAACGGAAACAAAACARAGCTCAATAAAGGAATGTAAAGTGCTCGGGATTTAAAAACTAAAAGCAACTAATGAAAGCAACTCAAAAGTACTTAGAAAGCAACAAAGAAACACTGAGAATGATCAAGAGAAGGA